TTTCGATCATCTGTACACGTGCCATTCAATTTGTGTATTACACAAATCTTTCCACGAAACAGACAGTTTTAAGTGCAAAAGGTGCGAAAGTGCAGAATCACTCCAGCATCCCCTTAATAACCATGAAAAATAAATGCGTCGCCACGAGATTGTGTAAAATATGAAGATTGGAAGTATATTGCGTTTATTAAAACTAACAGCGACAAAGAGACGTTTGGCGCGAATATAATCCCTTTCTCGCCGATGTGGTAAAATGGTCAGTGTGGCGAGAGACCAACAATATCGATAAACATTTTGCCCAATAATCGTTTTTGTTACTTCGCAGCATGCGAAAAAAAAGGATCAGAAAATGCGCGTATTGTCGATAAAAATACATTGGGACGGACTGAAATGCGTTCAACTGTCACTTTAACACAATGTTCCTCATGTTGAGATGAATTGACTGTAACAGGCTGAAAGCTGCAGCATCGCTCTCGCCAGTTGACGCAAATGATTCCCCGATATTTATCTGCAGACATTTAGCGGCAGTTTCGCGCGCGTGGGATAAATTAATCTTGTCCGGATTAAACAATTACGTTGTTGGATCTGCCGTTGTGAGATCCGCGGAATCGCAAATTTATGAAAAGATTATTCAACCTAACGGTTTGTCGTCGCGTTACGGAAAAGTCCAAGTCGGCGCGGAATTGGTGAGTACAGCAGCCACTTCATTTCACGAGAATCTACGACGTGCCCGACGAGATGATTCTATACGTAGAAGAGACGCCCCCCCTTAGTCAGACCTGCCTGTTATCGACAGATCGTGATAAAATAGAGCAGTTCGAGCGGGCAATTTGGTGGCAAAAAGAAAAAACGGGCTCGTCCCTTAGTCGTACGTATACGTGTCCACCTTTTCCCGACATCGTCTAATTTCGAGCGATTTATTTTTCTCTCACGGCATATCCGTTAGAGGTGCCAACTGCCACGTCTGCCTATCAAAACTTAGCTGTTCGTCAGCACAATGGTCGTTTATAATTTGCATAAGTTAAATGTTAAACTTTGCTCAAACGTTAAACGAACTTTAATTCCCGAGAATCCCCGAGAAGATCAGGAGTGTCTTTAAAGTTTCGAAAAAACTATTTTATGTTAATGTGGGCTTCTTGAAGGCTCGACAATGAAAGCAAATTTGTTCGGATGTTAAGTTAAGAGAAAATTCTCCGCACGGAGAGAATTTCCTCTTAAAATTTATCCTGGGAATCATGTAATCGCGGGACAACGTGACATTTTGAACGACTTTGTGAGAGTCTTTTAAAATTTTACCATATATTTTCCTAAAATATACTAATTGCAAGTATAATTACTAGTGAAATGTATGGTAAATTTTCAAAAAACTCTCATAAAATTCTTAGAAATGCCGTGTTGTCCCACGATTATATAATTTTCAGGATAAATGTTAAAAGAAAATTCCCTCTATGTAGAATCTCCGAGAAGATCAGAAGTACCTTTAAAGTTTCTAAAAAACCATATGTGACTCGTCCAAGGCTGGCAGCGGATGAATGTAGCTTAAGCACAAGAGTAATCTATTAATTTCACTCAAGTATTTAATCCAAATTTAACAGTGTCTCTCAGGCTCTCTCTCGGTAATCAAATTTTCGCCCCGCCGCAGCCCGTTCAAAACTACGCGGAATTCGCCCGACTGTCAATTACAATCTAAGCAGATGCGTACGGCGTCTGAGAAGGGTAAATCCTCGAGCGGCTCTGCGCCCTAAGAAAACCAACCCTCGCCACGTGCGCACAATAAAACGCTCGCCAAAATACACGGCGGACGTTTCCAGGGCTGCCGGAATTTACTGAATACTCCGGCGAGGCCATCAGCGACCATCGTAGTCGTTTAATCTACCGGGGGGGTTTTTGCTTAAATCCCCCACGTGCACGACGGAATGCACCCCCGCCGTGTACATCCCCCTTTCACCTCGCTGGCACTTGGTGCAAAAGCGGCCAACCAGCCGACCGACCAGCCAGGGCCGTCCCTTTCCAAAATCCACCGTCGCGTGTGTGCTTGGCGTAATTAACCCAAGTTACGAGATGCGTTTATGCGCGGTGCGTATACGCGACGGCACAAAAGCAGGAAATTACTTCTGGCAACGTGGACGTTCCTTTATTTGCGCCAGCGACAATCGCCTCTTCGCCGCGAACGCGGAATGAGAATGTTTCCGATTTCGTTCGCGTCGCCGCTTCGAAATGCCCCCTCGTCGATCAACAATAGGCTCCCGAAGCCGTTTATGAAATAATGTGAGAATGAAGACAAATTGAATACCGCGAACTTTCCGGATTGACAAAATAATTTCTGCAAAGTCGGATTTTATAGAAGCGCTTGTACACTGAGAAAATTTTTCATCGGATAAACCAATTAAATAGTGTTTCCGATGGTTAATTTTTCCGATTACGTTTTCCGAATAAATTATGGACATATCCGATGAAATTTGATCGAAAAACCAATCATATTTTTCGTCGGATATACAATTCAATTGGATATATCCGTTTGTTATTATGTAATTGGATTATCCGATTATATTTCATCGGATATTTTTCTCAGTGTAGCAGTGACTGTCAACTTTCGTACAAAGAATATTTTGCCAAGTTCCAGTTTGTTGCATTATCTCACTGAGAAAAATGTCCGATTAAATGTAATCGGAAAATCCAATTACATAATCACAAACGGATGTGTCCGATTAAATTGTATGAGAAATGTCATCGGTTTTTCAATCAAATTTCATCGGTAACTGCACTTCATCGGATGTACCCGTAAGTCAATCGGAAAACGTAATCGGTAAAATTAATTATCGAAAACGCTATTTAATTTGTTTATCCGATGACAATTTTTCTCAGTGCTTTATTCACTTCTGGTAAACCCTCATGGAAAAATATATATTTCATTATATATAGAGAGAAATGGTCGCGCCTGTTATTTATTCGGGCCCTTTGTAAGAAACGTCGCGCAGGATATTATTATTTAAGGGTGACGTTATTACGGGAAGGTCAATTATTTCGTTATTCATAAGCCTTTTATCGCGTTAATTGCATATATGCGCGGGCACAACCCCGTCGCAGGCAGCAGACCTTAAACAACTTATAAAGACATCATTAACTCCGTGCAGGGAGTAATTAACCCTAAATCACCACCTGCGGGGCGTAAGAAACGGGGCGCGATGCATAAATGCGTTTTATTGGCGCAAGAACGTACGATTGCAGGAAGCGAATTCTCCTCGTTAACAAAATATACGCGACATTGCGCAGAGTTAATAAATGTACATTACGAGCGTACCAAGTTCCCACCTTCGGTCGAGTAACGCCGAGTTTCGCCGGGACGGAAAGGGTTGCTCGAAGAACCTTGCGAGTTATCTCCCTCGCCGTATACGAGGCTGCCGGCGAAACATTCTAGTCACGTGTCCGTAAAGCCGGGTATTGTGCGGACCAGAAAGAAAAATTGTCCGGCAAAAAGAGGTCGCGGCGCTTTCGTGTCGACATCGAAATCGGAGGAGAGAAGCCGCAATTTTTTAATCATACGTCTATGAACTCTGATAACAATTTGCTCGCTTGACTGCACAAATCTTCTATTTTTAATTGTCATAAGATTATTTCTTTGCTCAGCTCCAGTATTTCGAACGGTATTTCCAAGAATTTTACGAGAGCTTTTTGACTAGTAAAATGTATGGTAAAATTTCAACAAACTCTCATACAGTTGTTTAAAAATGACACGTTGCCCCACGATCGCATGATTTTCAGGATAAATTTTAAGAGAAAGTTCTCTCCTTGTATAATATCGTTAACCACCCTCATAATTATTATACCATACTAAATACCAAGAAGATTTCTGTCGTTTAAAAGTTGTTTACTAAAGCGTTCATTGCTTTTATACAGTGGAATAACTTTGAATAACTTTTAAAGTCTTCGCTGGTATTAGATTCAGTACGGTTTAATAATCATGAGGGTGCGTAATAATTTTGGCCAAGGCTGTACGTTAAATTTTGATATACGCGAGATGAATTACATTGGATATGTGATACCGCTTCAGCGCCAATATTGCATAATCCGTATACAATATTTCGCGAGCAATGGAGAAACGATTATTCGCCGTGTGACTCGACTAAGAATTTTCTGAATGATATTATCGATTAAAGTCCTCTCACGCGGCGGAAAGACGTCGGTTCGACGATTGCGCCATTAAATGTCCCATTTATCTTGCTCGTACCTCAATGCGAAACTTTTGAAATAAAATAGCTTGATAGTCGACCTCCTACCGTTACATTGGCTTATAAAAGGACACAATTTCTCTCGACTAGAAGCCTCGGCTCCTCGTGGGGAAGGTGGCTCGCTAAAGTTACGACAGGTAATAACAAACTTTCGTATTCTTCCTTCTTGCGACACAAATGAAACGCTCGAGCGAGCGGGTTAATTTATATCAATTACACCGGCTGATGCGATTAGACCCGAGGAGAACGGCGTGGGGGAGGGGAGGAGAGGCCTGTTAAGAAGTCGGCCCTCATATCGCATGCCTGATACTTTTTCCACCAATTACCGAAGGAGGCAAACGCGTCCGTCCAACTGACGACTCCTCCGGAATTTCCTTTCCTATTCCTCGTTGCCTAATTAGGCGTCGTTTGCACGAGGAAAGAATTTTGTTCAACGTACAAGTCAGGATACAAAACAATTTCCGTAAGACGGGACAAATTGCCTGTTATGAGCGATTTAAAACGTGTATACGCGCGATATGAAATATGCAATACATTTGTAAGACGTTGCGTTTCTACTTTCCCATTTCTCAAATTAACGTTCTCCCGGAATGAAACGAAATGTGCGTGTCACGAGAGCATTAGAAACACTATAGCAATTTCAGAAGTAGTTAAAAGGCATGTCAAGCATCGCGGGATATTATCGCGCATTATCCGCGGTGTGATTACGCACAAGTCACGACGTTCCGCAAAGCGAGTGCAGAAAGTAGGATTTTATAACGAGCTTATTTTTATAAAAGCCGAGTACTCGCGCTCATTCCACTACCCCGTAGACAGAAAGAGGATGAAGGCGGTCCCTTTTCCTTTCTCTCTTATTTCTTCTACAGTCCCGTCTCTCCCAGCGGAAGTAAACGGCTGTAAACTCGCTCGGCGCTCTCCAGCGAAATTGCGGGAGCCAAAATTGCACGGGGGCACTGTATATATACGCATAAAGGAGACCGAAACTCGCGGAGAGTACATAATCGCGACTCGGTGAGCAAGCATTTATTTAATACATGCCGCGAACTTGTCGCCGTTGATATCTACGCGCTGGAGATGCACCTGTATACAAAATGCATATTAGCCATTCAACTTCTCGTAAGAATCCAAAATTACTTCGGAAGTACATAATCATTGTTAGCTTTGTAACAGTGCATAGACATTGCTAACTCTTCACTAATAATTCGACAATCTCAAGCGATACCTACCTCAAGTAACACAACGAAAGTCCAAGCAAATATGTTTTACACTTGGATGTAGAAATTAGTTTAATTCTCTGTTTCCCGTACAATTTCTCCGCACAATTGAAAATGTAATAATAAAAGTAATATGTGTTGCTTAATTAACGTATATAAAAAATAGCGTTTCGCTTAATCGACGTAGAATATAACAGAGCTTAACTTGTACGTATAGAATTTTTTAATACATTATTAAGATTATATTGGCTTACTTTAAGAACCAGAGAGTTTAAATATTCCTTTCTTCTTTCTTCAAAAAAAGGACATGTCTCCTCTTTTGTTTTTCTTTATAAAGTTATTAAAGTCGAACGCTGGAAAAAGTAAGATTAAAAATTAGAGAAACGACAATCGTGACATTAATTGCCCGGTATATTTGTGACCTGGAAAAATGTTAATACCCGATGTCGTTTTGTCGTCAGATCTGCTTTTGTTGTCCTGTTGCGCAGCAGGTTTCAAGGGAGGAGCCATCTGCGCGTCTTCATCGACATACATGGCCGATATATTGGAAATCGGAGATAATCTAAAATTACACAGCGATCCCTCGTGTAACGATGGTACGCCTGCAATAAAGTTTATTATAAGATTCGCTGTTTATATTTGAAGAAACGTATGTATTTATATTCAAAACAAAGTAACTCAATTCTACCTTTTGATTGAAAATCCTGATCGAAGGAACTCATGTTACTGTCACAGAAATCGTAATGCGTCGGAGAAAACACACTGCTACTTGCGGCAGTAGTCGAGTGCTGAACGGGTTTCGGTACCGGCATTAGCGGCGCAATGTTGTAGCGTACGGTTTCTATCTTCTTAATCACCGGAAGCGACGGAGGCGAAGATTGGAAATCCAGTTTTCTAACAATGCTCGATGGCTGAGGAGCAGTTATTTTATTGATACTCCCCTTACTGTCCTGCCTTTGAAGCCGCATCCTTTTTGCTCCAATTTCGTCCGGTGTATTCTTGACGGCGCTATGCTTGAGCGAGCCTTCTTTTATACGGCAGCTTGGCTGCGTTTTAACGGACTCCGGAGACTTCTGCGTCTCCTCGTGACCGGTCTCTTTCATTTCTACGTCGTCGTCTGTTAAAGTCACTTTTTCAACGCTTGGCTTCGCGTTCGACGCTACCAGAGCGTCGCGGGCACCGTCTTTCTCCGAAACGACAGTATTTTTCGGATCGGACGCTTCAGCCGCGGTAATATTATAATCGTTGTCGCGTGTCGCTTTTACGTTTATTTCTTCAGGCGCCACGGAATTCTCGCTTATGCATAATTCTTCCAGGTACAAGGTATTGACCGATATGGTGTCTGAAAAGCAAATGACTTTAGCACCTGGGACACCGCGTGCATGTGCATCCCACACGGCAAGATGGTAACAGAAAGACCTCTCAATGTTCTCTCATTTAACACTGGACATCCAATGATACCTTCAGAAGGACAACATAATGAAGTCAGACAGAGCTTTTATGCGCTACTTGCAGAGAAATGAAAGACTTCTTTCAAAAGTCACCGGAAAGATAACTTTTTGAGATAATATATATTAATATTGCATCTCAAACTAGACATCTTTGAGAGTTCATGTTTACGACGTCAATAAGACATATTCTAAGTTATTTAAAACGCAAAGCCTTTGGTGAGAAACTGTTAACAAGCGGTTCAAAAGGAATTTGTGACAATGTAAAGGATAGAAATAACATGAAGGAAAATCATACGAGTGTAGACAAGAGATCGTACAGTAAGAGGACTCGCTTTAACATCAGAGGAAAGATAAAAACTATCATGCGGGTGTATCCATTTGTAATACCACGTGCGGTCTTTCTCTTGCGAGAAAGTGCTAAGCCGCGCGTCCCTCTAGCGGGAACTTTGACTGGTTTCCCATGTTAACATTAAATGGACTTCATAAACAAGATATCGTAAAGAGCTTTTTTGAAAGATATCTTATATAAAAAATCTCTGAAACCAGATGCCTTTTAGACATCTTACTATCTGAATTATCTGGTAGATATCTTTTTCCATTACTCAAAAAGTGATCTTTAAAAAGATATCTTAAGGAGATGTTGCTGATGTACATAAATGCTGTGTGGGATGTGTCCGTAAATTGAAGTAAACATCTGGGACGAGGATATTTTAAGTATAAATCTTCACCATCGAGAGGCTCGTGAACCTGCTTCCACTCGTGTTGCACCCTCGTACGCATTTGATTTTGAGCGTACATCTCTCGAAACGGGATGTTGATCTTCGGCGGCGCCATCTCCAGCATTTTCTGCTTCCTCTGCCTCTTCTGATCCTCCTCCTTCCTGCGTAATACTTGCAGCTACGACAGTCAATTAAGTGCCTGCTCACACGTCGAGTACATAAATACGCGTATCGACAAATTAGTTTAGACATAGCTTAGAGACCTCCGCTTGGACCGACTGAAACTCCTTTCCGTGACGCTTCACGTTCTCCTTCAGTTTCGTAAAGTTTTCTTCCAGCTTCAAACGCTCCATCATCACGGTGACGAATTCAACTATCTTGCCGCGCGTGCGGATCCAGTTGATGCGTCGCCGCTGCTTGATAATCGTCATCATCTCCGCTTTCTTATAAGACGTGACCATATACTTGATCTTGAGTTTCTCCAAGTCGAACTTGGCCGCGTTTCTGGCCTTCGCCAGCGGAAATTCCTCGTACATAGCCTGCTTGCGATCGTTCAATTAAAATTTACCCCGAAAGTTATGTAATCGTGGGACAACGTGGCGTTTTCAACAGCTTTATGAGTTTCTTGAAATTTTTCCACAGTACACGTTTTACTTAGTAAATGTTTAGTAAAAATGGGCGCAAGGGCGCGCAAAACAGTCCCCTGAAACGGTAGGGAGTAAAACGCCGGCGCGGCTCTCTCTCTCTCTCTCTCTGCTTTCAGAGAGTAATTACTAGTAAAACGTGCGGTAAAGTTTCAAAAACTCTCATAAAATTCCTGGAAAAAACACGATTACATGATTTCCGCGGTAAATTTTAAGAGGAAACTCTCTCCCCGCGTATGAGTGAAATATAAAGGCTTATCACTAACGCGATATTCGTGCCACGTTTCCTTGTACTCGGCAACGATGCCTTGGTACTCCTGCGACCGCAGTTGAATCAGCTTGTACTGATCGTCGGCATTCGCCTTCATGGTTTCTACAGTGTCCGAGATCTCGTTGATGCTTATATACAACCTGCGCAACGCGGCAGAATTCGGGTGTGTAAATTCGACGTGGGTGCAACCGGTAAAAATAGGACAGAATCGGATAATTATCTCGCACGTACTTTGTCAGAGTCTCGCTCAGTATCAGTTTAATCTTGTTCAACTGCGTTATCTTCCCCTTGAGTTCCTTCCTCCTCTTAAGCTCGCTGCGCACGAACGCCTTCAGCTGTTTGATCTGCTCCACGTTCCCTGGAAATCATAAACGACATTCTTGCCTCAGCGAGCGGCGGCAGCGGGGAATTGAGAGATCGATACGCAGAAACGCGGGCACTCTACAAGTGCGTTCCGCGTTTCACGCACGACGCGCATTACGCATTTGCGCCGTTCGTCGAATGTTAAAAGAGGACAAGAGATAGCACCGTGCGCGTCGCGCGTGAAACGAGACGCACCGCAAGTTTTGCACGTCGCATCGAGCCGGTGGCGCGCTTTACTCACCGTCGAGCCTTCCCTTGACTGCCGCAATTTCCATTTTTAAACAGGTCCCCAGCACTTTCACAAATTGAGGATCGTCGTGACCCTCCGCGCTATCCATATCCATTCTTCTTCCCGCCGAGAATTACTTTTGCGCGACGCGCGACGCAGTACGCATTCCTCGGGGCGACGCTACCGTTTCCTCCTCGGAACGATCTGAAGTTGCGCGCGATCGCGACGCAGGCTGCGCCGACGCGGTTGCGCGATAATCACTGCTGTACTTACACGGCACCCTAAGGCCGGTATTCATAGTCCGTTCTTATATTTAAGATCATCTTAAGTATACTCTTAATATGTTTTTAACCAATCACAGGGCCGTATTAGCTTCTTAAGACAACACTTGAGATGATTTTTAAATAAGAATCGACTATGAATACCGGCCTAAGTACATTTAATACACCCGTGGTTATAAAATTAGCCAATCACAACTATCCTCAGAAGAATGGAATGACTGTGATTTGCCACCTAATGTCATCTGTTTTACCGACACGTCAGAATACGGCTTTGGCACTGGAAAATGTTTTTATCAGCTTTTATGCACGGAATAATGGCAGGATAAGTTGCGGACCGCACAGCAGAACACTTTCATACTTGAAACACTCAGATCAGAAGTCTAATGAAAATGATATTAACATTTGAAGTTTTCAAATTTTTAATCGTGAGAGAGTAGATCTCTACATTAAAAAAGTTTGTACGCTGACAAATCGCACAGTCGTGCAAATGTTGTCTCGACACATGTTTTGAGCGTTTCGCCTCACCGACGTGAAACCGAACGTTTCCAGACGCTACATTGTAGATCAGGCTTTGCAGCCGGCCGAGCGTGCGCCGCCCGGAAGTTGGTTATTTAGTTGTTCGCCGTTGGCGCGACACTTTCGTTGGCTAACTTGTCGTCCAAGTTCCCGCGGAAACGTGCACCGTAAACCCGCGTACGCTCACCGGAGGGACGGGAGGCGTGAAAGAAAAGCGGCTCTCCGTGCGCTCGTACGCTTCGCCCGTCTCGCCCTCGGAAAAATCTCGCGACAGTTTCGGCGGCCGACTCTGCTTTGCCCCCGCGAAAGTTCGATTGTTTGCCGAACGGTCGTAACTTTAGACTCGAGGGCGGGGGGGGGGGGTTCGTTAAAAGCGCCCGGCCCATACATCCCCGTGTGCGGTGGTGCTTTGGCACGAATGCGGCCCCGGAGTGGCCGCGAGTGCGGAGCGAAGATAGCGAGCGAAGCGAGAAATACGGCCGGACCGACCGTAAATCCGGACCAATTTCGACGCGCGCGTAATGTCCGATTATTGCGCGTCGTTCGTCGCGAACGGCGACGTCCGCGTGGCCACCAGAAAAACCATCCCTGAGGACGACGTCCGCGCAGCGAGGGGAATTTTATGTAAATTTGCAACGCTGGGACCATCTATTAAGGGTGTATGTTTAGGTCGGAAATGTATACCTCGCAGGTAAAATTATTATCTTATCTCTGGTAGCACAATGCACTGGCTAAACATTGGCCCCGGTGTTGATTATATTAGAAATGCATTGGCCGATATTGTCCAACGTAAAGCCAACATTGGCCAGGAAATAAATGTAAATATCGCACGGTAATAATATTAGATTTATATTGAAAGTGCGTTCGCCGATATTTAACAACGTATTGCTAAATAGAGAAGGCGTCCTAATATACTAGAGTTGCGTCATTTCCCAATATTGCGTCAACATATTGTGCATTTAATTTGGTAATTTTGATAATTTTCCATGATTTCCCTCGTCGAGTATCAACAATTATTTACACCACGAAGGCTAATTTTTGTACGTGTACATGAATTTATGCGTTTCCATTGTCAATAGCGTAAGCTCGTTACATTTACTATTTATGATGTGATTCTACATAGTTTTTTTTACAGGGTGTGTCAAGCAATTATCACGCTGCGTCGAGAAATGAAATTGTACTCGAAGTAATTTTCGCGAAATACCCTGTATATCGAAGACAAATTAATGGAATAGCAAAAGTGACGTGTGCACCCATCGAGACTTTTTATGATTTCTTTTCGCTCCGCCATTGAAAAGGAAGACCTTTCAGCAAACTTTGATTAATAAATGCAGCGTGTAAAATCCAATGGTTTAGACGGACAGATGAAAGTTCGATAGCAATTCTGCATGGTGTTATGAAAGGGAAGACTTGAAAAACGTGAAAACACGTTAATCATTTTTCCAATCAGCGGCGAACAACAGTTTCGCTTAAACTGAAATATCAGTCTCTGAAAATTGACTCGCCACGTGGAAGTCCGTGAAAATTCGCATTTAAACGTTCAATTGCAACTTTACATTAATTATAAACTGTGCTCTCTAAGAGCCAATCGGCGGATTCACTGAAAACCGTGAATAGTCATTGATTTGCAGTTATAGAAGGCTTTGAATATGAGACAACACAGGTTTCTACTGCCATTAATAGACATCACCTGTTGGTTTCACTATTAATTTATTGCCCTTGGGGTGAAATCTGTTTAATGGAAAATTCACTGTTAGATCGTGCGTGTAATCGGTGCTAAAAAAAATTTGTAAAAAAACCCTTGGGGAAAATGTACCTTAGAAGATCTTAAAATTTTGCTTCAGAAAAGTAAGAAATATGAAAAGTAAATTCGGGCACTTTGAACTTTTGTTTAAGGCAAATCTAAAACTTACTTAAAGGATTTAAAAGAAAACTTGGAGAATTGTGAAAAGCATGTGATACAACTTGTAATACCGCGTACGGGTTTCTTGTTACGAGAAAGCGCTACGCCGCGCAGTCCTCTAGCGGGAACTTCGACGGGCTCTCTAAAAATTACTCTAAAATTTCTTAAGTAAACCTTTAACTTCTTTAGGTCAACTTTTAGATTTGAAAGATTACCTTCGAAAACTGTAATTTCGTTTAAAGTAAATTTGCCCAAAGGACATTCGGATCAGATACCAAATGCGGATTAAAAATCTGAGTCGCTAATGAGCGACATTTTAAAGTAATTCACTTAAATTTTACTTTTTTTTTAAATACATTTACAACGTACGTTGTCGTCACAAAAGGCATCGACATGTTTTTACGTCGCTCATTAGCGAGTCATCAAATTGTCAATCCGCATTTGATATCCGATCCGAATTTCATCATTTTACCCTACTTACAGCCGTAAATGTGACTATTGACTGTTTGCAGTGATATCTCACTAATTGATTGTTAGAGAGTGCAATAATTAGTCGTAATTAAATTAATTATTTTTCCAGCTACAGAGAGGAAGAGAGCGCGTCGAAAAATAATCTCTCGGAGATCGCGCGCTTCCGATAAAATACCTCTGGCGTGTCTCGATTTACAAGCGGACGGTCAAACGTATGTATACTACAATGGCTTAATCCGAGGTATCATCGCCGCGATAGCGAAATAATCGTTTAAATTGTCCCGACCGCGGAGCATCGATCCAACCGCACGTCCCTTTGTCAATGGCGGAGGTACACAGGAGGAGCCAGCCGCGCGGTTTGCAAGTTAATGGAGGCGAGTGACGGCCGATCAACTTATCGGCTCTGAAAATTGATATCCGGCGCGGCGCGCCGCGCGTTCGCCCGCGCCGCGCGCGATTCCATCGGAAAAATATAAGTAAAGATTCGGGGCGGCTGGCTTGCTCGTCGCCGACGAGGGATGTCCGGGGAACACGGCACGCTGGCTGTCGGCCAACCCAGTCCGCATTTGGGTCAAACTGACCCGCGCCGCCGCCCTCGCCCTCGCCGCCGCCGGCCGGGATCCGCCGGGACGGGGATGGAGATGGCCGCGCGCGCGAGAGCCGTTCACCCCCGCCACCGGCGACCTATAAGTCGGCGTGCCCCGCTTTTACGCGGGCGTGCACCCTCTCGGAGCGGGAGATTTCTACGCCGAGTGGCGACGGCACGAGTGATCTACGGGAGCTTCCGGTTCAAGCACGTCTCGCGGACACCGGAAGTCGGGCTTTTGTGTTTTTCGAGAGAGGGAACACTTGGAATTAGGTCCTTACTCCAAGATGTCTACGGTCGCATGATAATTGCGCAGAAATACATATACATTTTTATTTTATTTTTTTATTCGCGCAGCTAACTTTCTAGGTTTCTTCGAAAAATATCCGTTGTCCTACAAGGCTAGGAAGCAACGTGCATAAGTTATTTTATGTTAATCCAGTGCTCTTACTGCTTCCTAGCCTTGCAGGACAACGGATATTTTTCTAAGAAACCTTGAAAGTGAGTTAACTGCAATGACCAAAAAATGAAGACACTGCTTTTTAGATTAGCATTTAACAGTTACTTTTACCGTTACTTTTTATATATTTCGAACCTAGTTATAAAATATAACTATATTTCCTTATATTTACTCTTCAGGCAACGATCAATATTCATAATCTATTATCATGTATTATCATGGGTTTAAAATTGCGTGAAAAATTTGAACGAAAAACTGAGAGTACAATAAAAGAACTTTAGCTGTATTTGCAGGGTTCATAGCAATCAAAACTTTTTATTTTCATTTTGAGCGTTTTAAAATTTATTCCCTCAAACTTTTCATGGTTTTACAACTTTAAAATAAAATATTGTTTTGTCAATATCTTTGTTAGTAGAAAAACTACTGCAACAGTAGATGTTTTAGCTTGCCCGATCTCGTTACAGAATTAAAAGGTAACGAGAAGAGTAACGAGTCGTTAGTTTTGAAGTAACGTGAAAATCGGTAACCGTAACTAGCTACTTTTAAAAAGTAACTTCCCCATCCCCGGCTCCTATTCCGCTATTGTGTCGCAGATGAGGAGACAATGGTAAAATGAAGGGGAAATTATACGACATTTAGAGCACGACGGTGGGGACTATTTTATCTAATGGTATTTTATGCAATGCCACATGCACCAGAAGCTGTTAAAGCTCGCGGCATAATTTATGGCGTCATCATTTCGTCGGCGAGCTTCTACTCCCCTTTGAGAACCTAATGGAAATCGTACTATGGAAAGCGTGAGCGGAACCCATAAAGAACTCGCTGTCTATACCGCGCCCATGAATGCCCCGAGTTATCAATGTTAAAATGGGTTATCAGCGAACAGAGTAACGTTTCCGGTCAGGCAATATCCTCCCCTCCCCTCCCCTCCCTCTGTCCCTCCCTGCATTTGTTGCCCCGCAGGGATTACTTTATGAATACTA